TAATATTTAGCATACAGGATGATATCAGCATGACATGACATAGGTTCAACCAGATTGTAGCGTTTCACATGACATAATATTTAGCATACAGGATGAGATCAGCATGACAGGACATAAGTTCAACCAGATTGTAGCATCGCGACTCGGTTCATTCGGATTCACGGGTGGACGAGGAAGGGATATTACATATCCATATTCCTTTCATGATATAAGCATATGATTAAGAATCATGAGTGGTTTTAACAGTGGAGAGTTGAAGATAAGATTCTATTGGAAGTAGAATATCCTTAGAATCAATAATTTCTGGGATTTTAGTAGATTTTATAGACAAAAACATACACAGAAATGTAGGTTGTAAGCAATTAAAGGGAAGATAATGTTGGAAGCACGCTTTGTCTAAATCAGGGGCAGCTCTGTTCACTCTGCCACTCTTGTTGCTTGCTTTTGTCCTCCCAAGTAGCCATAAATTCCCCCTTCCAATTCCATACACTAATAATAATAATAATAATAATAATAATAATAAAGAAGACGAAGAAGAGAGGAGGACACATGGCAGTGACCCAGAAACGCATTTATATGATTTCTTTTCAGAGGGAACATTTGATATGATTGAATTTTCTGTTCAGATTTCTAAAATTACTGCTTATTTCAATGGAAATGGAATGTCAATCCAAAAGAATGACAGGCTCATAATTTATATACACACATCATTCTACAAAAGCACTATATTAACTTGGAGCTGTCATCTATATTTATTATTACAAGATTATTAATCATTATAAACTCTTATTAACTGTATCTTTTTTTTCTTGTTACCAAATCTTTTCAGAATCCTGCATGTCCAATTCCATTACTTATATGCATATATTTCAATGGACAATAATTCTTATATGTACAATATAGATTCAAAGCATTTCCTAATTTCTTATACGGCTTCTTTCTCTCAACTCTGATGGTCCCATGCGTAACAACTCCACTGCCCAACATTGAAGAATTTCAAGCTCTCATTAAATGAAGATGGAGCTTGTGCTAAAAAGAATAGGAAAAATGTGCATTTGTAACTTTATTTTTTTAAAATTGTTAAATATGGTAGAAACGAACAGTGTTTTTAAATTATCAATCGTTTTGTTTTATTTAAGTTATTCTGTAAATGGAACCATCTTCATAGAATTTAAGTTATTCAAGTATTAAATGTGAATTGATTGTGAACCGCTAACTAACATTTAGTTAATGCATCCTGTGCTAAGTATTTATAGAATTTTAGTTCTTCAATCATTGATTGTGAACCGCTAACTAACATTTAGTACTAAAATAATTAATAATCGAGTCGATTGTAATAGTTGAATCAAACAAGTGGGAAGTGGAAAAGGGGATTGATGGATTGAAATGATGAGAACCCAGATCATAATATAAGAAAGGAAAAGAGGAATCGAGGAGAGGAGGAAAATGCATATGAAGGGAGGTTCCTGCAGTGGGTAGCAATAAATTCAGGTTTCCTGAATTCTGGTGGTAGCATCAACCAATTGAATGCAATATGGGATAGACAATGACAGTTGCTTCCTATCCTCCTAATTTATGTCTGTCCCGATTATGCCTAAGCACATGCTCCTATTACAGAACCTGTCCTGTTCCAAGCTTACATGAATCCAGACATACATTATGTTTTTTTTTTTTTTTTTTTTTTTTTTTTTTCTCATTGTCCTAGCTCATTAAGAACAACATAAAAATATATATTCTTTAATACATGTTTAATTTTTCATAAAGAAATACATGTAAATAATGGAAAATGAAAATTTCGTATTCTTAACCATGATGGGCGTGATGATAAGTCGCAATCCTATAATTAGAATCGTTTCTCACTTATTATTTGACATAAACATACATCTCCATCTTGGAATATCAAGAATTCCCTCATTAATTTTCAAATGGAAAGAAAATTAGTTGGTGTTTTTATTTTTCGTTTCTTATAAATATTTATAGCAGTTTGATTTCTAAAGCTATAGTAAGAGTATGTTCCACAATTTGGGTGTTTTTTAGTTGTTTAATTATTTTTTAAGGTTTAAATTAGAAATGTTTCGTATGAAAAATAACTGTTTAATTAAATTTGTTTTAAACTTAATGGACAAGAAAAGACATAGATTGATTTATTAGTTGAATTCTAAAGGAAAAAAATGATAAGATTGTTAAAATTTTTTTTTTTTTTTTTTCCTCATCATGAACCTTACCCTACCATTAGAACAAACAATAAAATATATATTCTTATACATGTTTAATTTTTCATAAAAAATACATGTATATGAAAATGAATTTCGTATTCTTCACATGATGGGCCACGTGATGATAAGTCGCAATCTATAATTAGTAATCGTTTCTCCCCCACTTATTTAATTTCCTGACATAAACATACATCTCCATCTTGGAATATCAAGAAACAAATTCCTCATTAATTTTCAATGAAAGAAAATCTCGTTGGTAAGTTAATTTATTTTTCGTTTCATTTAATAGCAGTTTGATTTCTAAAGCTATAGTAAGAGTATGTTCACAATATTGGGTGTTTTATTAGTTGTTAATTATTTTATTAGCGGTTTAAATTAGAAATGTTTCGTATAAATAACTGTTTAATTAATTTGTTTTAACTTAAAATGACAAGAAAAGACATAGATTGTTTAATTAGTTGAATTCTAAGGAAAAAAAAATGAATATGATTGTTAAAAAAATTTAAGAGAAAGCTAAAAGCTAAACATTAAATGTTTAATCATTTCATAAAAAACTTATTTAATCTCTAAAAGCTATGTTACTGAACATTACAATTAGTGGATTTAAAGTTTTGATTTGATTAAAAGTCAAAAAGTTAATTCAAAAGTTATTGCCGAATGCGATTTAAATAAAAATTCTTTTTCTTTAATTGTGACTAATGCTCTAATTCTAATTTGACTGTATGTGTTTAACTGGACTGAAATGCTAAATTTAAAATAATGTCGAAAATTGATTCTTGATGTCCACCTTACAACTAAATAGAAAAAGAAAATGAAAGAAAATTTTGAAAAAAAAATACATATATAAGTGGAAAAAGAAAAAGGAAAAGCAAAGAGAGTGGAAGGGGGTATGAACCAAAAAGAAGCAAGACAGAAAATGTAATGGCAAAGGGAGCCCCATTGAAGATAATAGCAATAGAAGGTGACTTTTGAAAAGAAATGAGAAAGATAGGGAGCTTTAGGTGGAGGTGGAGGAGGAAAAGAAGAAGGTGTAACAAAGTGTCGCTTTGAGAAAGCAGAATCAGCGCAAACAAAGAAAACCGACCATCCACCGACAATAAAACCCACCATATGTTTGTTCTGCAAGTTTAAATTACCTTTCCATTTTATGGGACCTTATTAGGGTAATTAGCCCCTGAAAATTTGGACAGTGTCCTTTACAAGTCACCCCACATTGTGTAGACATGCTGGCAATGGCTAAGACCAGCTTTGAATAACCCCACTCATGGTTGGAATGATGTGGATGCTTGATGGTGATGAACCGTGTTTACAATGCCACAGTCCCTGCCATTTTAGCCCTATTGAGCGTTTTTTGAACCGACAGAGATAGGGACAAGACTAGCGCCACAATGAGGAGAAGAAGAGGTAAGGTGAGCTTGAGCAGGGCCAGGGCCTCAGGGGTCGCATGTCAGGTTCCTGAGACATAGGCAAGTGGGTTGCGTTGTGTAGTTTGGCTGTATTATTTATTAGTATTATGTTTGTGTGATTTCATGTACTTCATATCATCTTATGTCATGTGCAGTTCACATGTAATTCTTCTTCTTCTTCTTCTTCTTCTCCTTCCTCTTCTTCTCCTTAATAGTTGCTAGTACTTAAAGATAAGATAAGACAACTAATTATTCGTTACTATAATCAGGTCATCGATACCTGTACTAATATCACCTTCTAAAAAAGTTGTATTTGTTTTCTTGTCCACAACAAAACAATTTTCTTTCTTTTTTTTTATATTTTTTTTCTTTTTAATGAATTTTTTAAGTAAGCTTTGATTATATTATTAGAATTTAGGTCTAAGGGCTTGACACTTAGGCACAGTAAGCCAATTTTCTGTCCATTTCTTTCAAACGGGTACTACTGTGTCCCCCACACCCACAAGTGCCAATTTCACATTAAGAGCAGGGAGTTATAATAGGGGGCCCAAGAACAGATATTCTTAGCCCATTTTATGGTGAATGAGCTAATGAAGGGGCACAATAGGATGGATACAGCAATTTTCCACAGTGATTCTTTTTAAATCCATAACATTGTGGATACAGCTATTTCTTGATCGAACTTTCAAACATTATTCTCCATAATTCCTCCTCTTATCAATCAATCATTGTCCTTTTTTGGGTTTAAAGCTTTCTCTTACGACTTCCCCCAACCTCTATTGATTGTTTGAAGTGACATTAGATAGTAAATTTTCTTTTATCAGTTCATCTTATCCTGACGGAGCTAGGCTGTGGGAGTCCATAAATCCTGTTGCAAATCATGTGTGAGAACGTCATAATCTAGATTTACTTTAGACATTCCAATTTTCAGGTGCAGGAACCTCCGTTTCCACTTGGCTTATGTGTCGATTAGACATCCACCTATCGTTCTCATAGATTGTAAAATTTAGCATAGTAGCTGTTTTGTTCGGTATGGCAAAATGATACCAGACAATGGATTATCCCATACATTTACTCATTCCTAGTCCGGGTCTGGTCATTGCAATGTAGAGAAGCTTCAAAGTAAATTCATTTAGAGGCCTGGAGATCCGGTCACTGTAAGGTGCGATAGCACTCTGGCACTGGCTTTATACATAGTAGTCGCTTGCTTAGGCCCTACACATAAATAGGAATTAGAACCTGATCACGGGCTGGTCCAGAAAAAGGAACTCGACCCAGGCCAGATTCATCAAGCTTAGCACCACCATTGATACTCTTATCGGGTCATAATTACCGAGTAAACGAAGAAAGTTCTCAGATATCTCAAGAATGACCAGTATACATGAAACGAACAGGCAAGGTTTAGAGTAAGAATATTCTATATTTTCAAGGATTCACAGAAATTTGCAACTGAAATTGCATCCACCATACCAGTACCGCATCCCAGACAACAATCAATCTATACCATAGACGAGCACCACCCAAACAACTAAAATAACCCTATAAACTACATATACTGTATATATGGTTTATGATTCTAAATACCTTGATTCCTATCCTAAACAAACACAGCCTGCCATGAAATATTTCTCAAACTGACAGCACATCACAGTAAAAATGGACATAAAACCACAAAAAGACACCCTTAGGTGGTTAAGTCGTCATCCTCTATTCAAATGCATCATCATCGTCATCAGGGAGAGGCTGACTAGCTGCCTGAGCAAGCTCAGCTTCATGCCTGCAGGAAAACACAGCATGCCACAATCAGCAAAGGTAAGAAGAGAGTAAGGGCATAGGCTCGTATTTCAGTTTATGAACCGACGAGGAAGCATATAAATATGAGAGGGAATATATTGCTGCAGAAAGTTAATTTGGAAATCCTTGAGAGCCATAGAAATAGTATTTATTTCTAAATAATGGAATAGCAACAACATAAAGGAAAAGATCTTACTGTTGCTGTGCAGCCAAATCAATTTGTACTTCTGGAGGTGCGAGAGCAGGAGTTGCGACAAAGTGAAGATTAGGGTCCCTGACATCACCAAAGCAATCATCAATTCTAGAGTATCATCTAAAGCACTCAAATGCCAACAATAAAAAGTAACAATATTATGATATCATAATCTTACCCAGCAAGCTTGCGGGCAAGGTACAAGAATGGTTTCTCAAAATTGTAGTTGCTCTTGGCAGATATTTCATAGTACTGGAGATTCTTCTTCCTGTGAAAAGTAACCTGCTTTGCCTTAACTTGCCTGTTCTTCACATCAACCTTGTTACCGCAAAGAACAATTGGTATATTCTCACAGACTCTGAGGTGACAGCAATTAGAAGCAGCGTGAAAATTAGAGAATGCATAAAGCAAGACAATATCCATTTATAACATTGCAAAATGAGAATTATTTTAGAAGAAGTTAGAACTCATCATATAGGGTCCAGCTGCTTCCACAGCTTGGATCCTTTCTATGAGATAGTGGAAATAGACATTAGACATTCCCCCTTCAAAATTGACATACCTGCAGAGATCGCGGTGCCATGTGGGAACATTCTTGTAAGTCAAGCGAGCTGTAACATCAAACATAATGATGGCACATTGCCCATGGATGCTGCAATTTGTAATGAAACTAGGTTATAAGATAACTAATTAAAAAGTTACTTACAAAATAAGATAAACCCACAAACATCAAAACAAAGCATAGGCCTGTTATAGCACCCAACCAAGAACACACAAGGGAAGAAACAAGCGGGGGAGAGAGAGAGAGAGAGAGAGAGAGATAGAAGACAGAAGGAGAGAAAGTAGCAATGAAGTGATTAGATACATTCCAATAACAAGATATTAACTAATAAATCAATTCTCGCATGTTTACTACCTTCACTCTGTAAGTAAATTAATTCAGACAACTGATCAAATTGAACTACTCGAAAAATGAAATAATTGTGATTTATATAAGAAAAAAGGCAGTAGAACACATAAAAACAGCTAGAATATGCATAGCCAATGCATCCAAAGCTTGTGGTATTGTCAACTTGTTATTTGTGATGCCACCACTAACTTGAGCAAACTATTTTTCCAATAAAAGCCGCCTAGTGCAGCAATACATCTAACTTTGAATCCACATTGATAATTGATTGATTGATAGTTGAGCAGCAATTAATCAAATTATCCATTTAAGAGTATGAATCCATTGAACTTCATGTAAATTGTTAAGAGCAAAAAAACATACATATAACAAATTTAATACGAAAAGCAGAAATCAAAATTCACTCACTAGTAACCATCTCTGAGACCACCAAATTTCTCTTGCCCAGCCGTATCCCAGCAGTAGAATCGGATCTGTCCACAGTTGGTGAAGAAATCCAATGGATGAACTTCAACACCGATAGTTGCTATACATTGCAAGAAAAAATGGAAAAATCAGCACCAATTCAGTGATATTTTTCTAACAAAACTATCTAGCAGAGCACATATAATTTTCTCACAAACACTCACGTTCATATTTCTTCTCAAACTCCCCTGTCAGATGCCTCTTGACAAACGTAGTCTTTCCTGCAAAAATCTCAAAACATTGAGCTCCCATTCCAAATATTTCAACACAATCAAAAATTCAAAAACATTTAAACGTGCATCCTGTTTATCTCGAAAACGATTAGAATAAAAGCAAAAACCCTAGCATTCCACAGAAAGCCAAATATCATGTCAATAACATTTTCAATCAAAGAGACCAAGCATTTCACATCAAGCAGTTACAATTAAAAGAAATACTATCTCGCGATTGAAATTAATATATTGAACTAATGCTACTCAAAAACCTAATCCAATACATCGCGAAAACAGGTCCGAAACGACAATTCCACAGTAAAAAAAAACGAACAAACGCAAAAAGATTCAGAGACGAAATTACCAGTGCCTCCATCACCAACAATGACGAGCTTGAAGCTCGGGTAATCGACAGTTTGTTGATTTGGTAAAGCCTGCAAAAACAAAATGCGAATAAAATCGATCGAGATTAGATAACGATCCTGCCGCTCAGAAAAAACCCTTAAAAGCGAAGGTAAATAGGTACAGAGAGATGAATCGCGAATAAGAACGTACCATTGAATTGCGCTCGTAATAGGTACAGAGTGAGTGAAACTGAGATAATATGCAAAGACGTGAGTGCGAGAGAGAGTGGAAGAAGGAGAAACGGTTTTATATGGAGAGATAGCTTGAGGTTGCAGCTTGGCTTTAAGTTAACGCAACTCCTTTCCGCCATTTGATTTTAGTACTAATAATTGTCTGGGATATGCTCTGTATCATTAATTGACCGTCCGATCTCTTTCTAGCTTATGATCCACGCACAGCTGGCCCTTTCATTTTTATTTTTATTTTTTTTTATCTCTCTCTTTCTTTTATACGAGTATTTTTTATGAATTCAAATTGTACTTCACTTGTTTCGGCAATTTCAAATTTGAAATCTTTTTTTTAATCTTCCAAAGCAAACTAAATCATCATTTTTTCAAAATCAGTTTTGAGTTTTGACGGTCTAGGTCGGTTCACCCCTACACATTTGTTGCTCATAATTTTTTTTTTCAAAAAGAGAAGCTCTGTTTCTTTTATATTTTTTAAAATAAAATTTATTATTAGCATTAATTATTACTCCCTCCATAATAAATTTATAGTTTGAGATTTTTTTACATAGTGTAAAAATAGTTAGTAAATTAATTTAATTGTAACTGATTCCTATTTTTCTATATATATTAAGGTAGACATCAGCAAACTTTGAAAAAACACGAAAACCGCACTTAGCCAATGAGTTTGGTTATTTGGTACGTATATGGTTTTAAATTTGAAGAAATTTTGGTTCAGTTCTAAAAAAAAGAATTTTAATTAGCCGAATCGATTCGAAATTTAGCTACGGTGTTTTTTTGCTTCAACTATATCTTTTAATTTTTTAATTAAAATTTTCTGATTCAGGCCAACATAAGAACTTAATAGGAAATAAAAAGTCAGAATCAATGTTTGCAGTTTGGTTCGGTTATTTTCTATTCTAGAGCGGTATGGATTTGTCATCAGAATGTATAATTTCGGTTGTTGGTTCAAAACCGAACTGTCCAAATCACATCCCATATTAGGTCATGGGCCATTTTAAACCTTTTCCAATACTTAAATATTAGTATGATTTTTGAGGTGGAAAAATAAATAGTTTAATTAGAAAAAATTTATGAATTTCGTAATAATTTAGTTAGAACTTTTTGACCTAAGATAGCGGGAGGCGGGAGCCACCATTTGCCGTCCTGCTTCCGCCCCTGAGTAGGGATGGATGGAGGAAAAGAAATGAGATGATAAGGAAATGAAAGGTTGCTTTTTTGGATTTAATTTAATTTATTTCTAACTCTGCCAAATTACCAGAAAGAAATTATGGTTAAATTAGCCACGTGCTATGCACAATTTTAATAAATATTTTTTAACATTTAATTTTAATTTTAATATTTCACTTTTTTATTAAATTTATTTTTTAATATTCATATACTTTATTTGTAAATAAATAATTTTAAAACTTGTAAAATTCAAGTTTATGATATTAATTTTTTTATTTTAAATGATAATGACATCATGATAAAAATAATAAATGCCTATCAATAATTATAATAATAATATATTAATTAATTGAAAATTACAATTAAAACTTACATGACAATTAATAGAGGGAGATAAGATGCCAAGTGTAGAAATAAATATTAATAAATAATATTTTAATACATATTTAATTTTCAAATTTTTATGTTTCTATTTTTAAGTAAATAATTTTAAAATTTGCAATGTTCAAATTTAATTTAACAAATTGAGATCATATTTTGTAAATTGTAATTATAATATTAAAAATGCTATCAATAATTATACAGGATATACATATAAGTTTAAATTACAATTGAAAATTACAATTAAGAAACTTACATGACAATAATAGAGGGAGATAAGATGCCAAGTGTTAGAAATAAATATTAATATACTATTTTAATAACATATCTAATTTTCAAAATTCTTAAATGTTTCTATTTTTAAGTATAATTTTAAAATTTGGCGAATGTTCAAATTTAATTTAACAAATTGAGACATCAATTTTTGTAAATTGTTAATTATAATATTAAAACCATCTTTAATATATATAGGTATATATCTATAACTATCTAAGTTGGTACTAGTAATTAATATAGACTATGGTGATATATATATATGTGTGATAATAAGGCTACAATAAGATATTATATTAGTTAATTCTATTTTTTTATATAGTGAAGTAAAACTTTGCGATTTTGATGGCCATTTCATTTAGTGGAAAATTTTTGACTGAGATTTAGTCAAATGAATTTTGTTTTATGTATTATTGATTATTATGCAATACATACTTAGTGTAGACCAATTAAAAAAATATGACAAATGAAATTTCTTGGAAAAACATGCCAAGTGGAACATTATAGAAAAATTATGCCACATGTCAATTTCATTGTAAAATAATGCTTGTATATTATTATCATTATATATATTATATATATGTATATATATAAAGGAGAATTAATGGGTTTTCTCCGGTGCTGACGTAGCGCTTCCTCTAAAAAGTGAGATCGTTAAATCTTAAGTATTTGATTTAACTTTTGTTGTGAATTTTTGAGCTTTTTTTTTTTTTACTTTTTTCCTTCCATCATTTACTTTTCAATAATGAATTGTCCTTTTATTTTTGTGAGTTTTAAATTCATTCAATTATAGCAATATAAAAATTTTAAATATTTCAATTACATTTTTTAGATTTTCATAATTTACTATTTTCTTAGTAGAAATCAAATATGTGATAGAAAAACAATATAATATCTAAACCTTTAAATTTTCATAATTTACAAATATAATTTTTTTTTTTTTTAGTGTAAACCTCAAATCAAATATAGTATGTTTAAAAATGTTAAAAAAATCATGTGTTTCAAAAATACATATTATAAAATACAGTTTGAAAACGATAAGATAAAATAGTGAGTAGTATTTTTTATGTGTCTTTTGATTTGTTTAATTATAATTTTAAGTTTCTGAGTAAATTATAAGGATACAAATTTAGTTTTTCAAGTCCATAATATTTGAGATTTTTAAACAATTTATTGTTTGTAAGATTATATCGAATTTATCATAAAAAAAAAAAACGCTATCTATGTGGTTTTTCTTATTTTGATTTAAAATTTAAAGAATTTGGTAGATGTGAAATTAGTGGTTTTAAACTTTTTAAAATTGTATTTTTTGTTTTGTTGACGGAGAATTTGAACATTTATATATCGTCATATATAAATAGAAAGTTCAAGATTCTTTTTTTATTCACTATTCTGTTCTTTTTATAAAATACTTAAATTTCTTTCTATCGTTGAAAGCTTAACTTAATTATTTACTTTAACTTAGTCAATTTATTGTCGGTTAAAAGTAGAATATTGTTGCATTTTATTGCTTTGTTTGAGTTGTTTACTTTGTATTTTATTTTTTCATTTTTCATTTTTCATTTTGATATTTTGCTTACCTTAGCTTTATTTTTGCGAGGGATTTAAGTTGTACTTGCCACATTTTCATTTTCATTTTATATTTTGCTTACCTTAGTTTATTTTTGCAGGGATTTAAGTGTATGCAATTTCAAAGGATTTAAATATGTCTTATGTAATGATGAATTAACTATTATGTTTTAATAGGTTTTTTTAATTATACACTTCTAATTAGATAAATATTTACAAAAATAAAAATTAAGTATTTAAATTATCTTAAATCTTACAAAACTTTATATATAATAATAATTCCAGTCACTTTTTCTCTAAAAAAAACGAATTTCTATAATTTACTCAACCTATATATCTTATATTTGAAATGAAAAATATAATTATTATACAGCCGTGTGAAGCAGAGAAGACTGCCTACTTGATATATTGATTAAACTCAACTCTTTATGAGAAGGAATTGAGTTAAATTTTACAAGTAACTACTCTAAAGAATCAAAACCTAATCCACTTTGAAATGAAATATTAATAAGGCGAGTTTTTCCTAAAACAAAAGGGAAAAATTACAGTACGATCCCGTGATTTGTGAAATACAACTAGTCTGTCCCTGTCTTTTAGGAAATATACTAAAATTTTTATATAATTTATTTTCGTCAGAATATATGGTCTTTATGTCTAAATTTTGCATCTTTTCTATTAAATATCGTGTGAAATGATGAAAATACCCTTTTTTATTTTTAAAAACATATGGACGAACTAGTTATTTTTTCAACCATAAGGACTATAATATAAATTTCTGGTATAATATTTTAGTATCTCTCGTTTGATCTCTGTGTTTTCTTATTGACTTAATGAAAAAGATGCAAAAATTGGATAGAAGGACCTAATAGTGTAACAGAAGCAAAACATAATGACAAATTAGTACATTTAAAAAAATTCAAAGACGGACTTATTGTATTTCGCAAACCACATGAATATTGTATTGTAATTTTTCAAAACAAAATCCTATTCTAAGGCTTCGTATTTTCAAAGTTAGATTAAAGATTGTATTTAAAGTATTCAACCAAAATCGTGAATAAGTCCGTGTTTAGGGGTAGAAATGGTACTAATATTTCAGGCTACCTATCTCGCTTCAATAGTGAAATTGCTACGTGTAACAGATACGGGTTTTGTGAATATGTCTTTGGATATTCGCTACCAGTTACCTACTATATTAAAAGGGCTTGGTAGTAGGTATTCATGGGCATCCTATTGATCACTAGTAAAATTAAATAAGTCCGGATTTTGATAGTTTAGGATTTGCGAGTATCCTATCTAGTACATTTTAAAAAATTCAAAGATGAATTTATTGTATTTCGCAAACCATATGAATTGTATTGTAATTTTTCCAAAACAAAATCATATTCTAAGGCTTCGTATTTTTCAAAGTTAGATTAAAGATTGTATTTAAAGTATTCAACCAAAATCGTGAATAAGTCCGTGTTTAGGGATCGAAACGGTACTAGTATTTCAGGCTACCTATCTCGCTCCGATAGTGAAAATGCTACGTGTAATAGATACGGGTTTTGTGAATATGTCTTTGGATATTCGCTACCAGTTACCTGCTATATTAAACAGATTTGGTAGTAGGTATTCATGGGCACCCTATTGATCACTAGTAAAATTAAATAAGTCCGGATTTTGATAGTTTAGGATTTGCGAGTATCCTATCTATTTAAGGAGAATTCTAAATATGTTTGGGATAGATATGATAGTGAAATTTTAAATGAATAGATACAGATAACTCACCTGCCTCACTCCTATATCTATCCGGGTTTTATAATTCTATTTAATATTTAAATTAAAGTTTTTTGTAGTTAATGGTTTAGAGTTTTTTTATAATTTTATTTAATACTCAAAGTGCACAAATAGGTCTTTTATAAAATTTAAAGTGACACATGATTCAAGTTCTAAAGTTTAAAGGTGATATTTTTTTTCAGAAGAAATCAAATTAGAAATTTCGTTAAGAGGAAATTATACACATACATTTTTAACCGAATTGAACTGAACCAGATTAGTTTGGTCTTGAAATTTCATTGATACTGTGCAAATTGATTCAGTACTAAATCAAAATATATTAGTTTCGATTTGGTTTGAATGGAATCGTTTGGGCGTACAAATTATTTTAGTGCAGCTATTTATAAAACTGAACCGAAATAAAAAATGTTCGGTATCACTGTTGAAATCAAACGGTAACCGACTTTCAAAAAAGTCGATCGTATCCAACCAAACTGAGTTGGTTCGCTTTTGGGATCAAATCCGTATATTGGTCACTCAGCCCTAAGTATACGTCATAACCCGGTTTCAATTCTATTTTCAGCTAGTTCTGCTCTTGGTTGGTATAACCAGCCCTTGCTTTCCGCCTTGCACGAAGACAAATTGCCCAGACTCCATCTCTGACCCGAAGCAGGAGACTAGTGTCTAGTCTGACGCTGCCAATTATAACAAATTGCCGTAAAGATCCTATCACCTCTGAGCCAAGTATGGCCTCATCGTCCGATCCGTCTGTCCGGTGAGTTTCTCTATACACACAATCCTACATATTCGTTTTAAAATATCATTGATATTGTTGATTAATTAATCTCCTCTACGCATGTCTTTTCAGTGAGCCTGTTGTTAGAAAGCAAAACAATGGCCCCGCTTTCAAGTTCTTAGTTCCTCTCGTCTACGCCCCGATTCTTCCTCTCAGTAAGATCTATTTCTGCATATTTTATGATTCCTTTTATGGGTTTTCCTTTCCTTTTGAGCCATTCAGTGTTTTTAACATTTATGGATGTTCAATTTTTTCAGTTCGAATCTCGCTGCGTAGAAATCCAGTTTTAAGGGATCGTTTGTTTACTGCTGTTTTGGCTGGTGCTTTTGCCCATGGCTGTTACCTGGTGTATCCTTTTCTCAATTTACTTGTTGGGTTGTCAAAAAATTCGGTTCTTTTATAATGCAATATGATTCTGATTTCTTTGTTTTGATATGGAGTATACTATGAATGGATGAGTAATCATATCACTGTATCCTGTTCTTTATTTCAATTTGCTCATTTTGGTATATGCAAATTGTAGATTCTCATTCCATTTTCTGTGATGTATACCCTTGTGACATTCTCTCTGTAGGTTAGGTGTGTGTTTTATGAAATAATTGTGTGCTTACTGGCCTGTATGAGAATTGATATCAGAAGTTGGAAACATTAGTGTCTTCATTTACAATATTATAGCGTGATTAAAAAATAAAAAAGCTTGTGCATACTATGTATGTAGAGAGAATGAAGTAGTGGGACATGGGGGTGGGTGGACTTCTTTTGGAGAATACGGGGTGAAATTGCAAGTTGCTAAACATGTATTTACCCACGATATGATTCCGCTTTTGTCTAGAATTTAGGGATATAACTGACGACAAACTGAGATTTATGAGTTATGATAAAGTAAGATTCCAGAGATTAGGATCTTTATGGGTTTTCATGAAAAGTTTGTGAGGAAGCAGCAAGTCTGATTTGGTTGGTTTTTTCCCTTGTTTAAATTGAAAATTGTCAAGTATTAAGTTGATACTTGAACAATAAGATCTAACATAATTTCTTTCACATAGTTGCATTGCTGAAAAGAATAATTTTGTTGGATATAGACATGTTCCCTGAAAGTGAAACTTCTCCTGAAGTCACACTTTTGGTCCACACTATCAAGTTTACTTAGTGTCTTCTGTTGTAAAGCGTCACAAGGACCCTATGATACTCCTGTCAATGCATGCTGTTGCCCAAAGTAGGTCAACAGCCTTCTGTTTGCATTGTGAGGATGCTGTTACCTTGTTTGAACATGTGACCTCTCAGTCGATTGCATTGAGGTTTGCTTTCTTGAGGCATAGGTTGTTATTGTATAAATAATTCCTCTATAGCATCTAGTGCTTCAACATTCTTCTTCTCCATGATCTTTTGTCAATTTAATTTGTTATCCCTCTTTGATCTTGGGTCCAACTAAGTTGTCATGAATAACACACAAAGCTGGTACTTGCATGATGATAATTCTGTTATGTTTTTCTTTAGCACGCAGAGTCCAATTTCTGTGAATTTGAAGTAATTCAAATTTCCAAACATATGAATAAGAGTTAGTATAAAAATTTTAAGTTCGAGTGCAAATGCTGATAGCAAAAACTTTTCTATAGATCTCAATAAGTCCTTTTTATATTGCCATGAAGTAGGGATGGCAAGGGGGCCAGGTGGGCGTGGGATTGCCTCTCCCATCCCTGCCCCTTGGAAGATCAGGGTTGGGTTGGGGAGAGGTGTTTCCTTGCAGGGATTTTTTGGTCTTTTTATTTTTTATTTCAATATATTATTAAAAAATATAAATTTATTTATTAAAAACATAAATTATAAGTTACAAATATAAATTCTCAACTCAAAATTATTATAATTAAGTATTTAAGTATTTAAATATGTAAAAGAATTAATTATTCAATAAAAAGTACTAATACATTATAAGTTGGTGCAAGTAAGGGGCTTCGGGCAGGGTGAGGGTCTCCCGGTCTCACCTGCACAATATTGGGTTGGGGCGGGTAGAGAATTTGGAAATTATCCAACTCTTTGCTTCTAAGACTTCAAATGTTCAGTCCTGCATTGATGTAGATGCAAGGCAAAACTTTACCACACATCAAGTAATGACTCCATTTTGTTGAAAATAATATACACCATTTACTGCGTTACTCAATGTGTGATTTCATGTTATCAGGTTATTCAGTTTGAATAATAATGTAATTGCATAAACTATGTATCCAAAAAAAAAAAAAAAAAAGATTTCTCAAATTTTGTTCATGAAATCCTCGTGATAATAATGTGTTTGAGCCTTAAAAGTTCATAATGTCTTTTGGAGAGTTGTACTTAACTGCCTGAGAGCCTGCATGAAGTGCCCTATGTGAATGAGAGGACAATCAAGCATAAGCTTTTATAAAATGCACTTAGATGTTAGAAATGCTGTGAAATTGTTATGTGCCCATGTAAGATGTCAGTGTATTTTTTTTTTTTTTTCCCTTTGTCTTTCAAGTTTTTTGTTGCTTTTCCTTGATAGATATTTACAGAACAGATTTATATGACATCGAGAGCAAGTGATTTTGCTTCTGGTTCAAGAGGTCTGGTTTGCTGCTTCACTCTACTTCATTTATTGGTTATTGAATCAAATAGTGACTTGGTATTTTTCTTACAAAAGAATTAGCTATACCAAAATTTGAGTTTGTAGTCTTATCAATTTTGTTATGGAATTTTGATTGCACCTTATACCCATTTGTCGGTGCTAAAAGTTTTAGGATTGCATTTTACACCTGTAGTTTTTGAGAGAAATAAATACCAGACATGGAAGTTACTTTTGTTTAAGTGTAAATGCCATATTAGAAAGATAAAAAAAAGTCGTCATTGAGTTTTTGACTTCGGAGCTTTGAACTATGATGTCAGAAGTACTGTTTCTACACCCAGTTATTGAAGTTAAGTTTCCTGTACTGGGCTTCAAATGAATGGTTGATATTATGTTTATTTGGGTGGGTGTATGATTTTTAATTACTATTTTAGTCCCCTAAAAGGAACAAAAGGGTCTTGGGCTGGGGGCTAACAAGTTGTAAGTCCAAATAATTACATGGGGCTTTTTCTTGTTGATTTCTTATTTTGTTTGTCAATGAATAAAATAAAATTACTCCCACAATTGCTAGAATAGATGATTACGGCTCAGTTTGCATATCCAAAACTGCTGACCCAAAAACTTGTGGAAGATGTCTCAATGACACTTAAAATCAAACTTGTCAAGTGTGCTTCCATTATTACTGAAACTAGGCTAATGGTAGCTGATCAACTAACAATTTTGAATGCTTGGAGGAGGAGGTTGGAGAGAGAGAAAATCCCCGACTCCTAAGAATGGTGTAACTTCTTCTGTGCTGATGGTGAGACCGAGTATCTTTGGCAGTGATTGTAGTTCCCTGCAAGTACTCTGTTCATATTTCTATGGCTTCTAAGTTCCAACTCAACTCTAGTATTCTTTTTGGTTTTGTTACAGAATGTTAGACCGCATCTTATATTTCTGAGGAATCAAATTTCTGCAAGTATGTTTTACATCTGTGGAGTTTGAGATGAATACTTTCAATATTTTAGGTAAATGTACAGGCTGCATTTGGGTGGTCAAAATAATATTATGATTATTTGGCACGGTTCATGAATTTTATTATTGTCATAGCCTGGAAGAAGACTATTTTTGTCATTCTTCAGCAAGGAACTTGTTGTTACGTACCACTTGGGTGTTTATGCATCCCAACTAGCCTCATTATTCTCAGCCTTGTCACTTTCGATACATAGAGGTTCTGTATATCTACATAGATGTCTGTATGTCAAGTTGCTACTTCACTTTACCTTGCAGTTGTAAGAGTAGATGTCTGCATCTTGGTTTTCTTAACTTAGTAGCGTCAGAAACATCAAAGTGCAGATTCATTATTAGAAAAACTAGTCTACTGCTTGCCAATCCATCAATAAAGCCCGTTGCACTTGTGTTTATTGTGTTAAGACTTCTGTAGTAACTGTAATTTATTGCTAGATAGCTGGCCAATGCATGTAGCACTTGCTTGCCGGCAGACGGTTACTTCCTGCTGTTGCCTTGTTATAGTGATGTCTCGATTCATTAACCATAATTCTATTAAGGCCTTGTTCTGTCCTTTCTCATTCAAGTAAGACAGATTAGAATGGTGAAAGATAGAGACAAAGGTATACATTGAATGTGGAACAATTGATTTCCAGGACCACAGTTTTCCCTGCATTGTACACGTTCGTTTTTTAACAATTATGGGTACATAATTTGTTTGGTTCATTTCTGTGATCAAAATTTTGCTACGATGCTGCACATATAGACAATTTAGTTACCCACATTGTAGATAACATCTTTTTCTCATTAATCAACGTATAATTAATCTAAAATTTGCTGCTATTCCACCAAAAAAAATATAATTAGTCACGTACAAATTTACAAATGTCCTGGGACACAAGCATATTCTTCTGTTTGGAATTGGATTCTTGACAAGCACATATAAATTATCCGAATATAATTCAGGATCTTTCTATGTACGAAATTTAATTTTATTCCATAGCCAACTTGCATAATTTTATTTTATTCTATTCTATTTTATAGCCAAGCAACCAACCAAATTTTATTCAGAGGATTACAAGATTATAGTTACCAACACTAGCGTTAATCTAATCTTGTTATTATAACAATCGTGCGCGATTAATCAGTCATAGTGAAGAATTTGGGTTAACTGTTGCTCTCATCTTCACCGTCCATCACTCAATAAGTGAAATCGGATTGGGACCCAGTGAATAAGAAATGATTGATCGTTAATCCAATGGTTGCCGGCTAATATGCGTGCACGTTAAATCATGTTTTAACTAATAATTATAAGAATACCTTAAAGAGATAGCCATTAAAATAACGCATATGCTACGCAAGCATCATAAACGATATCAGATTTGTACATTAATAATTTACAGAGCGTAGTCCTTATCCGTTATCTTTTGATCATAACTTACAAGCAAGTAGCAATCAAACATTTCAGTCCAAAATTACAGATTTTCCAAACTAGATTATTTTTTGCTGGAAAAACCATGTACGAGTAAAATCTATATGCATATAGAAAAAAGTTATTGATGAACCATACTAGCCGGAGAACTACCGTTCGGATCTGTGCTTGAAGTCGGAGGCTAGCCTTGACGCGATCGCAGAGTGATACATAACATCATGAAACGATGACGTTTCATTAGTCATCATACGGAGTTGTCTCGCCTTCTCCTCAGTGAAACCACCTGGAGCAAACCGAGATCTCACTGGTTTTGAGCTGAGATCCGACTCCGATCTGCCGTCCTCTTTTTCCTGCATATCTTGGGGCTTATTCTCAGAGCCAATGTAGTCGGCCTCGGAGGACCATCCGAAGAGCGGGGACCACCAGTTACCCGAGCTAGAGGAACTTTTCCGGCCATGTGGATCGGGCCTCTGGGAACCTGGTCCGGCACGTGCTCTGATAGTGACAGAGTTCAATGGAAGGATATTAGCAGCCATTACTAAGATTTTGGAGAGAGAAAGAGAGCGCTCTTAAAAGGTGAGGGTTTTGGTTTTGAGTTATAGAGAGTCAAAAGTAACGATGGTGGCGTTTGGTTTAGGTTCAGCATTTAAAGGAGGTGAGAGGGAAGGAGAAAAAGAGAAGGTAACGGATAAGAGTGGACACGTGGAGGTTTCATAAAATAAACGTGTGGGGTAGTTTATGTTCATTTAGGACTTTTAACTGGCTATTCCGGTTTTCTTGTTTCCATCTTTAGGTTGTTTTTTATGAGAGGTCCTATCATCTAGTAGATGCCTACTTGGAGGTGAGTTGAGGGTAACGATTAACGAATGATGCGTTCGTTTGACTAAATTTAATTGGGTTGGGCCGTTATTACAAGTATCAAGTATCATTCAACTTCAACTTAAGTGCGATAATTATACCATTATTATCTGAATTTTCTTATTTTTTAAATTTTGATGTTTCAATGGAAAATAACAATAATTAAGTGTTTAAATTTATAAAATATTGTAATTAGATGTCTCTAACTGACGTGGATAATCGTAAAATTAATTATACACGAGCAGCGCCCAATTTTTGTTACGTGGCAGCTTACTTGGCGTTAAATATATGTCAAACAAGCCATTGCTTAGCTGGACAAGATTTAAAATCCCCATTTTAACCTCAATTGATTATTTGCCCACGACCTCCTCTTCTTCTCTTCTAGGGTAAAACCAAAAGAGAGAAATTGGTTTTTAACTTTCTGAAAACATCAATATTAAAATAAAATAAAATAAAGGAAAAGTAAAGCCAAAAAATTACAAGTTTTCTCATAGAGAAATAGCGCGAATAAATTAGGATAGTAGCCGTCGGTTCTTTTTCATTTCTTGCTGCATCCGATCTCAGTCGTCTGTCTCCTCTACGATAGTTGCTCTCCTCGCGTCTCTGTCGTTCGATTCCCTGATCTCTAGTGAGGTTCTTCTTGTATTGATTCTACTTCAGTCGTTTCTCTGTTTGTTTCCCAAGAAAGAAAAATGGCAGGAAGATAATTGACAACTAATTATTATCATTTGCCTTGTCGACCAAACTGTGAAGTGATCATTCTTGCACTTCTGGGAAAGCAGTTAACCTTTTTTTTCACTTTTTTGAGGAATTTGTCCTTTTTACAGAGCATTAATTTTTTTTTTCCTCGAGAAAGATCATATTTTTCAATAGAATTCTATCAAAAGCAAATTGAAAATAATTCTGGATTACTATGGGTGTGATTAAATCATATTAGTGGATTTTTACTCTAATTTTTGAAATTCATTTGCACAATGGATGAGATGATATTTCTATTTGGCAATATTAAGTTATTCATTGTTGATTAATTGGTTTAAGGGCTTTATATTTCTATTATTATTATTTTTTTTTTAGTAAGGGATACGACATGATATGATGATTTAGATAGTTTACTAGTAATTTTGCATCTACATTCTTGATGTATATTTGTTATTTTCCCTGCACTTTTTCTTCCTATACTTTTCATGTCACATTACTCAGATGGCTTGGCTTTGCTTTCCCTTTCCTTTATTTTATTTTAATTTTGATGTTTTCAAAAAGTTAAAACCCACTTTCTCTCCTGCTTTGACACTGGCGTTGGAAGGAAAGAGAAGGAGGTAGCTGGGAAAGCAATAAATTGAGGTTAAAATGGGGATTTTAAGTCCCGTCCAGCTAAGCAATAGCTTATTTGGCAGATATTTCAGTTATTTAACGCCAAGTAAGCTGCCACGTAACTAAAAAAATTAGGCTACGCTAGTTCATAATCAGTTTTTTGGTTATCCACATTAATTAGAGACATTCAATTGCAACATTTTACAAGTTTAGACACTTAATTATTATTATTCTCCGTTGAGATACAAAAATAGAAAAAATGTGAAAGTTCGGACACTAATGGTTTAATTATTCCATTTAAAGGTACCTTTCAAAATTTTTGAGAATATAAAAAAATATATTTTTTTTTCATTTTTCAATTTATATATTAGATGGTAATTATGAGATTTCCATGATAAATTTTTTATATATGATATTTAAAATGAGTGGCTCAAATAATAAAATACCTTTTAAACTTGATAGACGATTTTGTAAAGTTGAATATTCCATTAATAAAAAAAACGTTCATAGGAGGAACAACTACAAAATCTTGATAAAGGAGACTAATCTCATATGTTGATATTTGAGAAAGATTTGAGAATCACAAGAATGAACTTATAGATAAAGAAAAACTTTCTTATTTATAGCCCACATTAAAAACAATATCCTTTACTTTGAGATAATAATTGTAAATACCACCATCATTATTTTAAATATGTTATCGAGATCTAGATTAATCTTATATTTTCAATTCTTGTAAATAAAAAAAAATTTCTACTAGGAGTGCTCATTTTTTATGAGCCAGACACGGGCGCCGAGTAATATTAGGTATAACCTAATAGGTTAATAACACCTGTGATATAAATAAAAAAAAATTCTTATTTATGGTACGCAGTAAGAATAATACTCTTTACTTTGAAATAACAATTTTAAATAGTTCTACCATTATTTTACCATTATTTTGAAAAATTATCCAAATAATTTAACATCTCACAGAGAGATACTAATTGTAGTTCAAGCACATTACAGGATGTAATTATTAGGATTTTGTTTTTAGGAAGAACGAGAGAGAATCTAAAAGAATCAACTTATTTCCTTTGCGGAAAAAAAATTAGATCAATCAAATATTAGAAATTTTATCAATTTAAGAATTTACAAGAATGCTTTGCTCTGCCCTATTAAAGGTTACTCCAGCAATTGTTTTATTCATAAGGTCCTAATTAATTTATGTTATAACAGTGGAAAAAGATGTTGCTGGAACTTTCCTCTAACACAGTATGATTTGTTTGAATGAAGGGAGAGAAGGATCATTAACCTAACAAAAAACATTAGTAATTCTTGGCAAGGAAATCCCCTGCCAATCTTCCCTAAGAACAGCAACAAAGCTAGCAGCACGAGGAGAGGCTTGCACCTGCAAACCCAAATCCCCACGAACAACAATGTTTGCAAGCCCATCCGCAACTCTGTTAGCCTCTTAATGATTATATAAATGTCCAAATGCATAAATTAAGCCCCATAGTTTACATAAAAAGATCTTGTAACATGTTTAATTTTTATTTTCACTCGTCCTACACTTCAACTTAAAAATTGTATCCTATTAAATATATTAATTTGCAAAATTTTTTCCATTAAATACTCCAAATTTTAAATTTAGATCATTTATTGAATTATTGACAAATGTGAAAACTATTATTCTAAAAGTTGTATTAACTACATATCAAATCAATATTTTACATATAAAAACTAAAATACTATTGTTTTTAATATGAAAAAATATACAATGTTATCAAAATATATTAGGGATATAGATCCCTCGTAAAGTTAAGTGCGCCGCGAGATTTTTTATGTAAATCACGGGTGAATTTATGCATTTTACCTTATATAAATCAAGGTGGATGTTTGTCACATGTCATTTAATGACATGCTGATATTGAAGAAAGGAAAAGTATTGTGTGATGGCAGAATTGGGGCTCCCTCTTAAAGTTAAAAATTTAATTTTACTAAAAATCCAGAAATCAAATTAAACATTCAGCTAATTAAGTTGCAGACAAGCTTATTAATTTAGCAGTCAGGCTCTGGATCTTTTACGATAGAATATGCAAGGTGTAGTCTTAATTTTATTTATCTTTCGGGGTTTATCCCTCTTTATTAGATTAAAAAAAATATATATATTCTTTAATCTTTATACCCTTTTTCACATGCATGTGTGAACGTCCTAGTAGATTCGCATATTCGGAATCAAAAGTCGGCTACTTACTCCCACTGGGGAATGGTAGGATGGAGGAGATGTGTTGAGGTTTCTCCTTAGCTTCCTGCTGGCGGATAATAAGACAGCGCTGTGGTTTTCTTCGTCCCTTGGATTATTGGATTTATTCACCAATTTTCAGCTTCTAGAGAAATTTAGACCGACATCGTCGTTTTCACTCTCTTCTGGCGTCTTCATCTGTCGTTTTGCCGGAAAAGTCGGATACTTTGAACGGAAACCCGTCTGGAAGCCGTTCATGTATAAATTTTCCTACTACTGAAAAATTATTAGAGATATGAAAATGATTGATTCTTTGAGATTTAATCACTCTAATTATTTTAATGAATAATTATATTTTTCAACTAATAAACATTTAAATCCAAAATTTTAGGAACTAAGAGCCCCTTGAAAATGAATTTCACAAAAGAATTCATTTAGAATCCAAAATGTTGTGTATGGAATAAAAAAAATACAGATTTGAATTTTATGAATTGAATTATATGGAACTGAATGTGACTAATTCAAATTCTACTAAAATTGATGGAATTTGTAAATGAATTCTATAAAATTGACCATTGAAATGTTTATTGATAAAATTACCCCACACTATAAAACTCAACTATTTTTACTTTTTATTTATTTTTTTGAAAATTCTAATCTATAAGAATGTTATTTTTTTTAATTTAATAATGATGTTAGTTTATATTTATACTTTTATTTTTTTTAAAATTTCAAACTAGTAATGATGTTCTTTTTAAAACCTAATAATAACGTTAGTTATTATTACTATGAAACTATAAAAATTGAGCATTAAGAATTGTTTTCAAATGCAATTAAAAACAATAGTAACATTCTTAATATATTTTTAGTTTCCAAATTAATTACTTAAATCAACAAAATTGTTTACATCAATTAAAAATAATTATTATGATGAATGTTACTGCTTATATACAATAAGTAAACATTTCTTAATATAATTTTTAGTTTCAAATTAATTACTTAAAAATCAACCAAAATTGATTACAATCAAAAAAAATTAAAAAAAATAATATAATTAATGAGAATGAATGTTACTGCTTATATAATTAATTAATTTAGCGTGGAAATATTAGTGGTACTTATTTATGTGAAATATTAATTTAA